TTAGGGCTCAGGTTTGCTTTCTCCTTCAACCACATTTGGGCTGGTGTTCCATCTCTTGCGGAGTCCTGCCTTCTGTTTTGGAATCCCTAGGCAGGCACTGAACACTGTGTTCCTATGGGCAGCCCCCTGATCTTGCACTGGGCATGTTCTTTCTCTTTTAAAGGATTTTTCTCTCTTACCCTGTCCTTCCTTTGCCTGTTCATGAGTGACTGAAATAAAGGAAAGCAGCACTTAGCCCAAATTATTTGGCTATTTTATTTACTTGGCATAGTGCATAGGCTGAAAATACAATGTAATACATTCTTTTCTTTTTTATTTTTGCTATAGGGCATGTGCACTCAACAGAGATATAGAGAGAAGACAGCGAGAAATTGTCCCCCAGAGTGATGGCCACAGTGCAATACCTTCTCCTCCATTCTCCTCTTGGGATTTTGGGCACGCATGCACATGCACCTGGAGTTAGTTTTAAGCCACTGGGTCCAGGACTCGAACCACAATCGACTACGTGGGAGTCCAGCAATGTAACCATTACACCATCTGCTGGTCCCTATAATGTAATGAATTCTAATTTTTATAACTTTAGTTTTGTTATAAATCTAAACTTTTAGACAAGTTGCAGAAGTGGTACAAAGAATTCCTGTATAGCTTTGATCCACTGTCATCAATTCAAGAATCTGAATGTATAAAGCATATAAGTTCATTACTTACATTGTGGAAGAATTTTTCCTTTTCAAAGATAATTTATTGTACTGATAGGAGTATTATCAATAGCAAGCTTCAAGTTTGGCCCCATAGTACAACAGTTAAGACTTGTGCATGGGAGGCAGAACCTACATGACCAACTGGAGTTCAAGTCCTGGCTCTGGCAGCTTGGAAAACATGCCAGGTGCCTGTGCACGTGTGCCTTGAATCCTGACGGGATGGAGAAGTGGAGGAGAGGGAATTGTGGTGGGACCACACTCTGCTGAGGGATGCTTTCTCTCTCTCTCTCTCTCTCTGGTGAAAGCATGTGGCCTCTGGCAATAAAAAAAAATTGTGAGTGTCTTTGAGAGAGAGCAAGAGGGAGAATGTGTGTGTCTATGAAATGAACATTTCTAAAACCAACATCTGCTCAGACCCATGTCTTCCTCCTACTCTGTTTGATAAAGTGTTCTTCCCTTTTCTTTCGTTTTAGATTTTTTCAATAGGGTGAGTCACTCACTGGAGAGAGACAGAGAGAGAAAGTGAGAAATCACCCCCTGGGGGGACAGACACACTGTAATCCCTCTCTGCTATTCTCTTCTTGGATTTTGGGGACTCATGCACATGTGCCTGGCATGGTTTTCAAGTCGCTGGGTTTGGGACTTGAACTGCAGATCTGGCCATGTGGGATCCAGCTGCCTTAAACACCATGCCACCTGCTGGCCTCTAGAACCTTTGTATTTCCTAAACTTTAGTGTGGAGATGGAGGAACATTCTGATTCCCTTTGGAAGGCTTTCACTTTACTGTTAATTCTTTTTCTGAAGTGGTTGATATTGTTTCAAATTTGTAATTTACATAGACTTTATAAAATAATGTACTATAAAACCATCTGTAGAATATCTAAACGTATCCAAGTTGCTACAATACTTGCATCCATTTCTGCAGACATATATAACTTATATATTAGAGAATCTTTAAGTATATTTGACTAAAGGGTCAAGTAGCTTACACTACAAGTTAATTTATTCATCATTTAGAGTGGTGCTATCCCCATGGACCTTCTGCAGTGATAAACACGTCCTCTATCTGCACTGTTCAGTATAGTAACCATTAGCCACTCGTGGCTACAGAGCTCCTGAGCTGTGGCTACTGTGTTCAAAGAACTAAATTTGAAATATTTTACTTTAAAAAGTTATTTATTTATTTCTCCTGAGAGAGCAAGAGAGAAAGAGAGGCAGCACCCCCAACAGGGTTCTGATGTTGCAATCCATCTCCAGCCACAGTCAGTCCTGGATCATGGGCACATGAGTGGTCAGCCTACTCAGAGAGGTCTCTGGACTCGAACCTGAGACCTTCCCACATGGGTCAGCCTTGCAGAATGTGGCATCTTAACACTGTACTGCTTTCTAGTCCCCCCCCCTTTTTTTAAAAATTTGCTATGTGGTTGTGTACTTTCTGGAGGGGAAGAGAGAGAAAGAGAGAGGGAAAGCAACCCCTATAAAGTTTGCAATCCCTTCTCCTCCCTTTCTCCATCCTTTCAGGATTTTGGGCACACACTCACATGCACCCAACATGATTCTCAAGGACTCAAGGTCATATGTGATTCAGCTGCCTTAACCTCTAGCTCCCTAATTTTGATTCATTTAAATTTGAATGAAATACTCACATATGGTTAGTGGCTACTATATTTGAGAGTACAGAGCTGGAGTCACAGCTTGGGTTCTGTTACTGCTACTGACCTTTGAAGGGTTTGCCTCTCAAATAATTGGGACCAAATACACTAATATGAGAGAGTAGGAGTACAGAATCAGGAAAATTGGGATCATTAAAAATTTGTTTTGTTTCATTTTAATCTAGCTGTAAGTCACAATTAGAGGCAGTCTTTCCATAGACAACAATGAGAATATGGCCTTCCACACCACTGGGATTTCAGGATTTTGGGCACACACTCACATGCACCCAACATGATTCTCAAGGACTCAAGGTCATATGTGATTCAGCTGCCTTAACCTCTAGCTCCCTAATTTTGATTCATTTAAATTTGAATGAAATACTCACATATGGTTAGTGGCTACTATATTTGAGAGTACAGAGCTGGAGTCACAGCTTGGGTTCTGTTACTGCTACTGACCTTTGAAGGGTTTGCCTCTCAAATAATTGGGACCAAATACACTAATATGAGAGAGTAGGAGTACAGAATCAGGAAAATTGGGATCATTAAAAATTTGTTTTGTTTCATTTTAATCTAGCTGTAAGTCACAATTAGAGGCAGTCTTTCCATAGACAACAATGAGAATATGGCCTTCCACACCACTGGGAGATGGGAAGGGTCCTTGTGTTTCATCATGTTAAGGCCCCACCTGGACGGGCTCTTGTTTGAAGAAGACAGCACAGGGGAGGACACTGGCCTGATGGGAGATGACGTTCCAGCAGCCAAGCTGGGGGACCCAGCCGTGGTCAAAGAGTGGGCTCTTCTGGAAGGGAGAGGGTTTGGAGGGCTAGCGATGGCATCTGTGAGGACAAAAGACAGAAAAGACACAATGATTCTCTCAGAAATCAAATGCAAACCAAAGATGCTTCTGGATGTCTGAGCACGTCAGTCTATGCAGACAATATCTCTATAAGAAGCATGGAAATATTTTGATGAAAGAGCTAATCTGGTGGATTGGCAACCAGCCAACATTAGAATCAGCTCAGGACCTTAAAAACACATAGATGGAAGGTCCGAGCTGGAGAGCAGCTGATCAGTTGGTCTTGGATGTGGCCAGGGTATCCAGGTATTTCTTTGAAAGCCCTAATATCAGGCCAGGGTTGGGAATTATTGGTCTAATCCATCAAACTGCTCCTTGTTATATCCCATATTCCCTGTCACTAATGACAATGAACAAATAAGAATTTTCTTCCAGGCACACAGCGCTTGCAGAAGTACCTCTCCAATTTTACCATCTGGTTAAAACAGAGGTAAGGAAGTTTAACAAGATCATTTAAAAAACACCCATGATACTTAAAACACAATTGAAAACCAAATGTACATTTTTATCCCATAAAGTTGAAAAGCAAGAATCTCAGAAGGGAACGTGCTGCATTACCTGCTTCTTCTTGTTCATTAACATCTTGAGGGTCAGAACCGCTCCGGCTTCGACACTCTTTGTACATTTTGGCCTTTCGGGTGGCCATCTCGTCGTCAGTCGCCTCTCCACTCTCACCCTGGGAACATAAAACTCACCATGGCTCCCAGTCCATTCCTCTCCCATCACTGCTTCAGTTCAGGCAGGCCTCTATTTTCGGACCTACCCACTTTGAGTACTGCCTCCCCCTGTTGAAACCAGTGAAGACCTGTGTGAAGGCTGACCAAGCATTCTCTCCTTTCGATCTCTGTTCTCCACTTGAAAGTGCTCCATAGGGGAGCGAGGCAGAGAAAACAAGACATGCAGCCTCTGGGGTCTCTGTGCAGAACCAGAATTGTGACTGTCCACACTCTATCTATGGTGGAAACGGAAAGATGAGAGGATAGAGAAGCATGGAAAATGGTGACAGATACAGGATTCAGTGTGGGAGGAGGTGTGGAAGAAGGGGGAGTGTGGGGAAAGATACTAAGGAGAAAAGTAGAGAAGCAAGACATTTATGGGACACAGAAATGGACTATTGTCTGTTGATGATAATATGTCTCCTCAGGGGGCTGGTGTGAAGTGTATTCATGTTGGAAGAATTCACTTTACGAGCTACGTGATGTATGGTCATTGAATGTATAAGAGAAACTGAAAAAAAAAGAATTGTGAGGTAAAGTTCAACTTTAACATCAATAGCATCTCACATGCAAAAGCTGGGATTTCTTCTAAGTAGCTATGAAGTAATACTATCATGTTACAATGATAATGTATATTATTTAATGCAATCTTTAATTATGAGGGGCTTCATGCATTTCGGGAAATGAGTTATGAAAAACTATGTAGGGATTTCAAAAATGTTTTACAGCAAAATGAACTTGAAAAATAAAAATAAAATTGTATTTTTCAATGAATTTGTTGAAGTCCCTCATGTACAGTGCTAATATACATTCTTTTCTTCAATTTTTTAAAAAATGAAATACTGTCTAGTGAGCTAATGAGCTTGGTGCTTTGAGTTTTGGTCATTGACGTTTGGCCACTCTCTCTCACTGTATTTAATTTGCTAGAGGGTGTGTGTGCTCCACAGAGAGAGGGGGAGAAAGTGAGAAGTCTTCTCTCTTGGAGGATGGTCATGTTACAAACCCTTCTTCTCCATCTCTCCCTCCTTTTGGGATTTTGGGCACGGATGCACATGTGCCTCGTGTATTTTTCAAGTTGCTAGGTCTGGTACTCAAAGCATGCAGTCAGTCATGTGGGATCCAGCTACCTTAACCATCACTCCACAGGCTGGCCCAAAGGTGCTAGTATTTTTAAGCTGTGTTATACAAGTAGGCTTTTGGTGACCACCCTGCGACTTTCCTAATGTGCTTCCTGTTCTTCAGCCCTTCCTCGCCCACTACGGAGCTCATGCTCCAGCCGCCCAGAACTGTGTGTGCTTCCCTACTGTCTCCTCCGTAGGGATGCTTTCTCCTGTGTCATCTACCTGGTAAACACCTATAGATTCTTTGAGACCCATGTGCCAACTGCTCTGTAAAAACTTCCCTGCTTGTATTCTCCTCTCTGCCTCTGTAAACCGTGCAGATGACTCTTATTTAGACTGCACTGTATACTTGTGTCTGTCGAGGGCTCCTGTCTTTCCCCCTGGCATTGACTTGATTCCTGGCCCTGGCACCCAAAAAGTGCATGGTAAGTCCTTGCATTGACTGTCTCACACCTCATCTTGTCCCCAGCCCAGGTGACCCAAGCTGGTGTGTGGTGCAGCAGACAGTACAACAGTCTTGGAAGACAGGGTTAGTGCTTAATAAACAAGCCAACTCTACCCTCATGAGGATTTTCTTCTTTTTCTTGGCAGTGCTTATGCCCAGGGTGTTGTTTCTCTGCATGTTGGGCTTCTCGGCACTCTTTGCTGAGGTCCCAGGGCTGGGGTTGCGGGTGCTCCATCGTCTGCCACCAAACAACTCCACGGCGTGAGCCAAGGTGGGGCCTTCATACCGCCCTTCCTCCTGTAAGAGAACCACATGCTTAACCCATGAAGAGGCAGCAGCCAGGGGGAAGTAACACACAAATGGCTCCCAGGAAATCCCCAGAGGTGGAAGAGCCTGGGTGGCCACAGAAGAAGAATGACCACCCAAGTGGCTCTGTTTTCTAACACATGAGACTCTGCTGGGGATTTCATTATGTCCCCTGTTGTCCTGGTCATGTCCTGGCTATGTTCCAGCAATGTGCTTTAACACATCAACTGGGGAACAATAAATCTCCCATCCCAGTTTCAGCGGTTATACTAAAGAACTAACACTGGGGGAATGTCCATTAAGACTTACTTTGCAAATTAGGGCACTGTTGGACTTGGTGGTGTTGGTGAGGGTGGGGAACAGGGTATGAATCTATTTCAGTAAAATCAAGTTGTGTCTGTTATCTTCTTATGCAGGTACAGGTTCACCTAGTTTGATTTTTGGGGCAGTCTGACTTATTAGGGTGTCTTGAAAGTATTTTTTTTCTTTTTTCTTTCTTTCTTTCTTTCTTTCTTTCTTTCTTTCTTTCTTTCTTTCTTTCTTTCTTTCTTTCTTTCTCTCTCTCTCTCTCTCTCTTTCTTTCTTTCTTTCTTACTTTCTTTCTTTTTCTTTTTTTTTTTTTTTAAGCTTGACCAGAGAGAGATGCAGAGAGAGAAAGAGGGAAAGTTGAGAAAGCAAGCTGCCACGTCCGGGACTTGAACTGTGGTCAGCCATATGGGAGTGTCTAGCACCTAAACCGCCACCTGCTAGTCCCCAGCAGGAAATTATTAATTAAACCATGGTCAACGACTCTTCCAAAAGTCAGAGTCAGTGGATCAAACTACAAAATGTCACATATGAATTATAGACAATATTGATACACACACACACACATACATGTTTTTTCTTCTTCTTTTCTTTTTGTCATAGGGCACGTTTGCTGGCCAGAGAGACAGAAGGAGGGAAAATGAGAAATCACCCCACAGGGGGCATGGACACTCTGTAATTCCTTTCCCTCCATTCTCCTCCTGGGATTTTGGGCAAGTAAACACATGTATCCAGTGTGATTTTTCAAGCCTCCGCATATGGGACTCAAGCTGTGATTGTCCATGTGGGAGTCTTGAGCCTTAACCACCATACCATCTGCTGGTCCCTCAATGATATTTCACACTGATATTTCACACACTGTATAAAAGGGCTCCTTTAAAACTAATTTCTATTTACTGTTTGTATTCTCTGAAAACTTTTTTTTTTCTTTCTTTTTTTGGAGAGGTTTTTGCTATAGAGCATGTGCATTCGCCAGGAAGACAGAGAGGGACAGAGAGACAGAAAGCGAGAAATCACCTCCCCAGGGGGGATGGCCATGCCGCAATCCCTTCTCTTCCTTTCTCCTCTTGGGATCTTGGGCATGCATGCACATGTGCTCGGCGTGAGTTTAAGCCACCGGGTCTGGGACTCAAACCAGAGTTGACTACATGGGAGTCCAGTAACATAGCCATTACACTAACTGCTGGTCCTTTCCTGAAAACTTTTAAGGGGAGCCCTTCTTTGTAGTTTTAGGGAAGTGCTTATGAATAGATTTTGCTTTGTGGTTCAAATGCAAATAATAAAGGGGCTTTATGTGTGTGTTTATTCCTTCACCCTAATGTTCAGTGACTGTTTCTTCTTCTCCCGTTTCCTCTTCTTCTTTTTAAATTTCCAGAGAGCACATGTGCTTGCTAGAGAAAGACAAAGAGAGAGGGAGAGGTAGAAGGCATGTCTGTCCCAGAGGTCACACCATATGCCCTTCTCCGTTTCTCCATTCCTTCAGGATCTGGGGTATGCCCATATGCGTGTGGTATGTTTTTCAAGCCATTGGGGCCATGTGGCATATGGCTCACTTAACCAGTAGGTCAAGGGGCAGGCTTTATCTTATTTCATGACTTGAGCTGTGAATTTCTACTTTCTTCATCCTGTTATGAATCCCAGGAAGCTTAGTAACTTGAGTTCTTGATGATCTCTTGTGGTAGGACATCGTGACTTATGCCTGTCCATCATCTACTTCTCCCTTCTCTAACTATGCCCCAATTTTACTAGATCTCTTTTCCACCTGATAGAATGCTGGCAGGCCTATCAATCAATGTAGCATATCCTCCCTTGACTAATGATTGGCACATGATCCAAATAAGCCAACCAGAATCTTTGTCTTTGGAATAGGATTCTTGAATGCAGTGACACAGAGAATAAAAATGGTTGGAGATCATTTCACCTGATGCAGGCCTGCTGAAGAGAGTTCCTTCCAAGTCACTGTGAATGAGTCCAAATTGGAATGAATATTTTATGACAGTTTAATAAGTGTGCTTTACCTTATTGAATAACACACTCTGAATCTGAAAGAAGTTTTGTAAAAATTTTCTCTCTGGACTTTTATTTTTTATTTTTTTAAAGATTTTTGCTATAGGGCTCATGTGCTCATGAGAGAGAGAGAAAGAGAGAGAGAGAGAGAGAGAGAGAGAGAGAGAGAGAGAGAGAGAGAGAAAGAGAGAAATCACCCCCTGGAGAGAGGGCCATACTGTGATCCCTATTCCTCTAGTCCCCTCTCTAGTCCCCTCTCTGAATTTTGGGCATGCATACAGATGTGCCTGGTGTGATTTTCAAGCCACCAGATCCAGGACTTGAACTGTGGAGTTGGCCATGTGGAATTCAATGCCTCTGTGTCATCTGCTGGCAATCTCTCTGGGTTTTCAAACACATCTTGAAAAATTTAACAAATGCACTAAAATTTGCACATAAAAGAACCTGCACCATTTAACATCTATTGCTTTATTTTTTCTAATTTCAGAACACCCCAAAATGAGTCAAGTTGCACTCCTTTTGGGGGGTGCACATGCACCTGAGAGGGAAAAAAAGGGAGCCTCAGTGGGCTGGTAATGCCACAAACCTTTTTCCTCCAATTCCCCATCCCCTTAGATCATCAGCACACATGATGTTTTTCCAGCTGAAGGTGCTGAGACTTGAACCCTGGTTGGCCATGTGAGATCTGGCTTTCTCCAAGCAGCACCTAACTGCTATGCCATTTTAACAGTGTTAAACTATATTGGCCTGAGAAGGCCTCTGTATTCCTGCTTGAGTTCCTGTAAGCAAATCACAATCTCATTTGGAAGTCTGCTCCCTTAGTCATTTGCTAAGTTACAACCAATGACAGTAGCCACTCTTCAGTCAATCAAAGACAGCCCGCAGACAAACATCAAGTTGTAATTAATCCAATGATTTCTCTACTTCACTCCCTCATTTCCAGTTTTTGTACTTAGCTTTCCCTTTCTTTCACATTAATGTCACCCCACCTGTGGCTATCAGAGTTCCTTTGAAGTCATTCTGGGGGCTTCCCAATTTGAATATTTTTTTGCTCAATTAAACTCTGCTAAATTAAATTGTCTGAAGTTTTTATTTTCTTTTTCCTTGAAGAATTATTTTGTTTTGTATATTGTTATTTTATTTATTTATTTAAATTTCATTTTATTTTATACATTCAATCACATTATTATTTGACTTACAAAATGGATATTTCAACAGGTGAACATTTCTCCCTAGTGCAGTTGATAAAACTATAAAATATCTTCAACAGATAATTCCACATTTCTTTGTGCCATTAATGCTTTGGCTCCCTATGTTTCTTCTAAATGTCATTCCTCAGACCCTCCTCTTTCACACACACTATATCTGGTATTTACATCTATATACTGTGTTTCTATACCCTTCAGTCAATTAGTTTCAGGCATAGAGTGCGGACATTCGGTATATATTAAGTGGGGATATACAATGCCTCTCCTTCATAGCCTAGCTTGCTTCACTCAGCAGTAAATCTTCTTTATTCATCCATTTCTTGTCAAAAGCCAGGGTTTTGTTGTTTTTTTTATGGCTGAATAGTATTCCATAGAGCATATGTACCACAGTTTTTCTATCCATTCATCTGTTTGTGGGCATTTGGGTTGTTTCCATGACTTAGCAATTGTTGTTGTTATTATTATTATTATTATTTTTATTTTAAATTTCCTATAGGGAGAGCTGATATCTAGTGATTTAAGAGATTATACACACACACACACACACACACACACACACACATATATATATAAAACAAGAAACAAGAAATAGAAAATTATTTGTTGACAGTAACATGTATGTTTAAATGTTTAAGCCACTCTACAGTGTACTCTGGCTAGGAAATTGCATTTTGTATGCTGTGGTGATGTCCAGTGAAAGTATGTAAAATAAATAAATAATTTAAAAAAGAAAGAAAATAAATAAATTTCCTATAGGACAAGTGTGCTCACCAGCGGTCAGCCACGTGGGAGTCCAGTGGCTTAATTACCATGCCACCTGCTGGTCCCTTAAGTTTTTCTTTTAACAGAAATATTATTAGGTCATAAAAAGGCAGGATGCTTTTGTTTAATCTTTACAGAACATTTTCTGGGAACTAAAATAGTTTGGATCTTTTGTTTTACAATATAATAAACTTTTTTGGGATGGCTAAAGGATCTACCTTCCCCTTTTTTTTAAGTTTGGGAGAACGACTGCAAGCAAAGATACATTCTCAGTTTTAGTTCTTGTGGAAGTTGAAGATTAGAAAATTGATTTCTTAAAAAATATCCATGGGACTAGCAGTTAGCGTAATGGCTATGTTGCTGGACTCCCACGTGGTCGACCATGGTTTGTGTCCTGGACCCGTTGGCTTAAACTCACGCCAGGCGCGTGTGTGTGCATGCCCAGGATCCCGAGAGGAGAATGGAGGAGAGGAGATTGCGACGTGGCCATCCCTCCTGGGGGGGGGGAATTTCTCGCTTTCTATCTCTTTTTCCGTCTCTGTCTGTCTGGCGAGCTCACACGCCCTCTCTGTCTGGCGAGTGCACGCGCCCTATAGCAAAAACCTCTAAAAAAAAAAATCCATGTACTTGTACTTCCTAACAAATTTTTGCACATGACACTTTGAAGTCCAGCTAATCTACTTCCTTTGAATAGGGCTTTCTTTCTTT